GCTGTATAGTCTTATATGTAGTGGGCGGCATAACGGGGCTGATTTCCGGCCATTTAGAAAAGGCGTCGACGACAATTAAATACATAGTTCCATTTATTGGGCCAGCGAAGTCGACATGTATCCTGGACCAAGGATGCTCAGGTTTGGGCCAGGAACACGGTGGGAATTTGCCATTCATCTTTGCCGCCTGCTGACACCCATGCATTTTTACACCAACGCTGTGACATGTTGATCCATGTGAGGCCAGTATGCATAACTCCTGGCTATGGACTTCATTCGTTTAATCCCAGGATGACCAAGATGGAACTGTCTCAGCACTTTTGCACGAAGGGATGCTGGCACCACTACTCTTTCACCAAACATCAGACAATCGTTGACGATGCATAGTGACTCCCGCCGCTGATACAGTTGCTTCATGTCACCTTCAAACATTTTCGACGGCCAACCGTTAGTGACATATTTCATCGTCATCTTGATGATGGGGTCGTTTCTAGAAGCATTTTGTATGTCTGTTGCAGACACCGGTAATGCGCGAACTGCGGTTGTCAGATAACATTCTGCGTGGTCTTCTACTGACAGAGATGAGATCACCATGTTTTCCTCAGCCGCCACTTGATCATTAATGAGTCGTGACAAAGCGTCTGCTTGACCGAATTGTAGAGTACGTCGATATTGGATTTCGAAATCATACCCCAAAAGTACCAAGGCCCATCGCTGAAGACGATTTGCAGAATGGGCTGGAATGCCAGACTTTGAACCAAATATTGCTATCAGAGGCTTGTGATCTGTGAGGAGCGTGAATCTCTGACCGTACAGAAACTTATGGAAACGGCGAACAGCAAACACAAGAGCAAGAGCTTCTTTCTCTATCTGGCTATACTTCTTTTCTGCTGGGGTCAGTGTATGGGATGCATGCATAACGGCTTTTTCCGACGCGTCTGGAAATTGATGTGAAATAACAGCACCTAGGCCATATGCTGAAGCGTCTGCTGCTACGACGATCGGCATGGATGGATCGTAGTGTGTTAATAACAATTCCGAGCTAATTATAGACTTGAGTTCACCAAAAGCCGCGTCACACTCTTTAGTCCAGTTCCATGTGCTATGCTTCTGCAGTAGACAATTCAATGGAGCGCGAATATCATGCATCGAGGGAACAAAAGCTGAATAATAACTGATTAAACCGAGAAAAGATCGTAATTCGGAAACATTAGTGGGAGTGGGCATCAGTTTGATAGCTCGGATGTTTTCAGGATCCGGTCTGCGACCGTCGGCATCAAAGATGAATCCCAAATACTTTACCGACTGCAATAGAAACTGGCGAAATCCAATTACGGTGAGTATCTCCGCCTGTCACGTGGAAGGCCCGGGTTCGATTCCCGGTCGAGGAGTCAGCTTTTGTACTTCACACTGTCGTCCACTGCACTCCCACAACACGCACACAGAGGTCATGTCACTGACATTCGGGCTGCTCCGTGGAAGTGGTCTGTTGCGACCAATGTGTTTTCGAGAGAGCGAACGACCACTGACCAGTAGTAGCAGATGAGTGAATGGAATGCTGAGGCAGGTAGACAGCATCGACCGGTAGATGAATGAATATCAGGTTTCGCAGCATCAGATGAACAGTGCGAAGTGCGATGTGACAGTGTAGACATGTGGATGTGTTTTGTTTGTGTGTGAGTGTGCGCGTCGATGTGTGGTGTGGGTGGAGTGGGCTGACAGGATGTATGATGGAGTGTTGAAGTGAGTATGTTGTGTTTGTGGCAGTTCGGTTAGGTGAGATGTAGTGAGTGTGTGTTGTTGTGGTGTGATGAGCGGCCAAAAGGACGCTGCCACCAGCTACTGCCCCCAGGGAGGATCGAACTCCCGACCCCTGGTTTACAAGACCAGTGCTCTGACCACTGAGCTATGGAGGCCGATCCCGATGTCGCACAAAACCCTATCCACCATTCACCACTCACTCCAACAATCAGTCCATTTACACACAGTCTCAAACATCCTACAAACACGCAACTGTACTCAGTCAGTCAACCGATCAATCAAGAAGCTTTGAAACATACTACTTACTACAAGATGGCTGCTGGCTAGTCAGTCAGTCACTCGATCCACTCATCGGTCCAGCCTAAACACAGCGAATCATGTGATTTGGAAATCAACGCACACCAGTCTACCGGTCAAGTGTTCCATGGGCACGTGAAGCCCGACCACTGTCAATCGAGCATCGCTGCTATATGCGCAAAACGATTAGAGAAATGGTAACTCCCACGACTAACTTTCCCATCATCATACACATTAACATTGTATTATTTATTATTATTATTATTATTACTAATATTTTTTCATCATTCCTTCGACCACTACTACTACTACTACTACTACTGCTATCATATAACTAGATTATTGCATATTTATATTCATTTCATATTGTGATAAGCTCCTGCCTGATTGACGCATTGACTAATTTCGTATGATTTACTAATGCCAATATTTGGCCTTGTTCATGTTTAACTGTGATGTGTTCTGGTACGTTTGTATATAAACTGTGTCTGCTTGAAATGTAATCATTAGTGGAGGCTGACTAGGGAGGGATTTGTGGACTGGACCAGTCGGACACAGAGGCAATTTCGCAACAATAAGAACTTAGCTGCTGACCAAGCGATATTGATGCCTAATCGTCGTATCATCATGACCGGTGTTTCGTCCGTGTCGCACAATGTTAGTCAACAACGGTTGACAATACAACAAGCATATAGTGTTGAAACTGGCGACCGGGAGAGATGAGTCCACATAAGTGATATCATCGACTGGTCGGTCATCTGCCTGCCTGCCTGCCTGCCTCACTGGCAATTATCGCCATCACCATGATCCCCGTCCGTCCCACCACTGATCACATGTTGTCACGTGTTGTGTGACTGAGTGGATAGATATCACGGTGTCCTGGTCGTTCGACTAGTAGGTGGACGAGCATGCGACTGTAAGTGCCAGTTCACTGAATGTCGTCTGTCTTGTTAGGCCATGATGCATGGTCAGGAGGAGCTGTGTCACGGATGAGATCAGTATGGCAGGCAATAGTGGATGTGAGTAATGACCGAATTGATGGGCGTGAGGTGCGACGTTGTGTTTGGTTGTATGTGACGACTTGTAGTTGTGTGTGTGTGTGTGTGTTGGATCGGTGTTGATGAGAAGTGTTAGTGATTGAGTTTGGAGTGAGGTGAGTGTGGGTTGGAAGACGTGCTCCTCGATAGTATAGTGGTGAGTATCTCCGCCTGTCACGTGGAAGGCCCGGGTTCGATTCCCGGTCGAGGAGTCAGCTTTTGTACTTCACACTGTCGTCCACTGCACTCACACACAACACGCACACACACAACATCGCAAACCACCTTCTCATTCCACGTTGTCGACTGGCTGTGCACTGCAGTACATTCACTCTACCTCACTTCAACAAAGTATGTGTTTGACGGATGCTCGAGGGACGAACAACTTGTCATTCTTGAATAATGTTTCTGTAATTTTCAATGGGAACCTTTTTTTGCTATTTCGTTTTTGTGGATTTATGCGTGAAAAGTTATGATGAATATATTCAGTTTTATTTTTATATCCTTTTTTAAATAAAACTGTCTAAAACAATCAATGATCTTGTTGTGTTATTACATCCACGGTAATGAAATTATAAATAAGTAAGAGTTTCTTTTAAAATTTTCTTGAAAAATACCTTATTGTCTTTTTTGTCTTTTGGATAAATATGCATCATGTTTTGTTGATATATATATATATATATATATATATATATATAAATTACAGTCAATAATATACACAGTAAACAAGAAAATTCCTATAGACAGTGAATTAAAAATTACTAATTATACACACACAACATACAAAATTAGAATGGAAAATAATACCATTAATGAAAGACATGATTAATCATTGAATCAATCAATTGTAATCAATAGTGGAGGGAATTTCTACTCGACTTAGCTGATGATGATGATGATGCTGATCGTTTCGACAATGCATTATGACCTCGGTTACGGTGTCGTCGTGCACGATTACGTAATGTGAATGTGATACACTGTGATTGTTCAGGGAAAAACAACGAGGTGAATGTTAAATACAACATTATGAATAAAAGAAACAAGGTTTATTAAATGTGTGTTGTACTACTTACTAATCAGAAGATATTGAGTCAATCATGGAGCTTATATCCTCCACAATTAGACAAGGTTAATTAAGCTTCTCCGAAGGAGTTACTTGTTTTTTTTTTGCATATCTTTTGATCTTGTATCAATGATTCGTTATTAATTTTAGTTGTTTTTATTCGAGTGCGTAAGTATGTGCATTGCTTGCTTCATTGATTGCAAGCAACATGTTTCACCCATCATTAGTTGACTATAGCTACTGAGTCATGATGCTTCAATGGCATTTGAATTAACTCATTTACATTTTCTAGTTATTCGTTTTGATTGTTGGTTGTACGCTTTACATATTCATGTCTGATTGCTTCAAATGAATGCATTCAAAAAACCGTATTTGGTAACTTATTATCGCCATCGGACAAACCGGGATTGGCTTGCGGAAATCGAAAAGGAAGATTTATTTCATAACATATTTACTAGTTCGTAAATATTACAGACAGATTTTGGGGCCACTAAAGTGGTGAGCCATAGTTAGGATTTAATGTAACCATTAAATAAGATGATGAGAGTGACTTATTTAAATTATTGTATGTCTGTTTATAGGCATGACGATTAAGCGCTTTTCAGTTCGACTAATAGTGAGTTGGTAGATATGTATCACTAATAATTTCTACTCATATTCAACGGTTGTCTAACTAAAATCAGTCCGTGATAAGAATTACAAACCTCACGATGACCATCATATCTCTACATTTTTACTTGATCATATATGTTTTGATAATCAAAGGCTTTCAGTTCATCTAACCAACTGGATTGTGAGGGCATCAACAACTAATGTATGGAGCGGAAACTTGGGAAACCACGAAATTCATTATCCTTAGGATGAAGATGTTTACTAACAAATTTTCTACGCACGGTATTACGCATTCATTCGTCAGACACTGTTGGCAACAACCTACTGAGGAAGAGGACAAATTAAATTACAACTGAGGAAGAAATCAGGTGGATATAACATACAATGAGGAAACCATTCAACTGTGTCAAAAGACAAGCGCTAACTTGTCACTCTCAAGGCTAAATGAAAAAAAAAAAAGTGAAACCAAAGGACACATTACACTGAGTACTTACTGGAGACAGACATGAGAAGAATGAAAACCAATTGAATAGAACTAGAAAAGAAGCCGCAGGACAGAGTAGATTGTAGAATGCTGGTCGGTGGTCTATACTCCACTTGGGGTAATGATTACACTCAATACATAAATTTGAAGATACAGTTGATTCGATTCTCTGAAATAATACTTTCTACAAGTGGCTAGTAAATAAATACTTAGTTAGTTTATATGATTAGGACGAGATAGTGAAGTTTGTACTGTTAAAACATGTAACCTTTTAGTGGTTAGTGTAAGTCATCGATTCGAATCCTATTGCTTACTTACTCACTTATGCTCGTCACCACCCACCCCCAATGGAGCACAGGTCGTCGACCAACATTCTCCAATCTATTCTATCCTCGACCTCTGTTAGGATATTCGTCCAATATCCCAAGACAATTATTTGTAAGTCTAATTCTATGAGTTAATTCCTATTGTGGTGCTGTGGTGCGAACTACTTATAAGTAGTATATAACGTGAATGTCAACGTAAAGTCTGGTAGCATAATATGGGGGCAAGATCAATAAAGGAAGAGTTAGAAAACAATGGAATTTGTATGAAACGCATGAACAGTGAAATGTCAGACAATGGATTGATGTTTGGCAACAGGAACAGTCCAGTTCCATAGGATGAACTGATCTTTTGCAAATGAACGATTTACGATATGGTTTTCCGATTTTACTGAGTAACTCTGTAATTTTCGTTAAATACAATTCGGTTGCCCCACCTGTGTTCTCATTCACTACACTATAAGTCGTCCTAAATATCAATGTCACATACTTCAAACATTGTTTCTTATTCAACCTAACTGTATAAATATGCATTATCGGTAATGTTTAATGACTTGGATCCCTAGTCTAATATCCTGACTCTCCTCCACCTCTGCACTTGGACCTCGTACTTTCTGGATGCTTGTAGAATAATACATGTTCTATTTCAAAACCAAGTCTTCTTTATTATTTTTTTATTCAATCGGGGATTTGGGACACTGGGATTAGAGTAACCTGTTGTCATGTCGCCGGATCCTCGATCCTCAACTCTCATTTTTCGACCAAGATAAAAACTAGCATATCGAATGACATGTTTACCTACATGCATAACAACCCTCCTCATAGTTGTTCATTCTTCTCATGTCTGCTTTCATTTCTACTGAGTTTCAGACTTAGATGACTAAACAGAGTATGACTAATCATCAAATACAACACAGTAGTACCAGTTGCGTGCGTGCGTGTTGGTGTGTGTGCGTGTAAACAATAAAATAAAATGTCATTCAAAGTAAACTTTATACCTGATCATCAAACAGATCCATTAATTTCTGTTGTCCAATAAGAATACCATCAGATTTAAGCATACTATGTACAATGTCAAATTCTAATGGCTGAAAACAAACAGGATTATTAATATTATTACTAGTCAAATTACCGTATAAGTTAAAATATTCATATATAAATTTGGATTATTCTTGAGATAATTCAATACAGTTTGTTGTAGATTATTATTCTAAAATTGAAAAAAAAAAAATGAAATAAACAAGAATAATGTGATTAGTGTTTGAATTAGTTTTTTTCTGGTTAGCGTTTTTTTTTGACGGAATGGGGTGGCCAATCCCATGCCCAACCAGCCTCCTCCTCTTTTATCCGGGCTTTGGGACCGGCAGTAGACCCAAAGGGTCTACAGGCCAAGTCCTCATTCTAAAATGAAAAAAGATATGAGAAGAATGAACAGAAATTGGATAGAATTGGAAAGGGAAGCCCAGGACAGACAGAGTTGGTTGGGAGAAAACTGGTGGGCGGCCTATGCTCCATTGAGTGGTAACAGGCGTAAGTAAGTAAGTAAGTAAAGTGATTAGTGTGAATATATAGTGTAAATTTGTGAGAATGTAACATGTGTAACATGTTGTGGTGCCTAGTGGTTACAAGTAAGTGTTAGAATATTCATCCTAATAAGATGATAATTGTGTTGCAAGTCTAATTCTGTTGGCCAATTCCTATTGGTTGTCAATGTCACATACTTCAAATGTTGTTTCCTATTCGACCTAACTATAATAAATATGCATTATCGGTAACGTTTAATGACTCGGATCCTTAGCCTCTTCTAGACTCAGACCGCGTACTTTCTGGATGCTTTGAAGAATACACGTTCTACTTCATATCAAGTCTTCTTCGTCTATTTAATGGGGGTTTGGGACGCTCAGATTAGAGTAGCCTGTTGTCGATCCTGCATCTCGTTTACTGACTAAGGTGAACTCGTAATAGATGAAGCATATCAATTGATGTGTTGACGCGCATTCGTAATAACAAGCTTGTTGTTCTTATTCTCCATTGGAATCCTTAATCAATCATTGTTAGACCATCCTTCAGAAGAAATATAGAAACACTCGGATGGTCGTTTTGTCTTAGTATGGGACAACTGATCTCAGTGGCAGTTCGCATTAGCACGACTCCCGCCTACCTGTAAACCATTGGGCCAAGGGCATCCAATGGTATGTAATGTCTAACTTTGATCGATTATTGATTGAATGTAACCAGTCATCAAACATGCTACTACTAGATAGTTGAATTCGGTAGTTTAGGTGGGTGATGATGCCATGCTGTTTATAAAGCGATCGATTACAGGTCCGACCACTAGTGTGGACAACATTGAGATGCTGATAATATCCAGCTGACGAGTTTCAAATAGGAAGAAATGCAGGTCTTGGATTTCACATTGCAGTTACCCAAAGAACCAACTTGTTTAGCACAGTTCTATTCTGGGTCCGAGGATTTCATCCATCCCTTCTTAATAATTATGAAGTTAAATTTTCTAGTTTGATATTTCTTTTCAACAAACAAAGTTTATCTTTTAATATTCCTATGTAAGTCATATTTTACACTACACAATACTTTGACTTCTGTAACAGGCTTATGATCGATTTATTGCGACACATTCAACACTGGTACAAAGGAGAACCTAAATAGTTAGGCGCTGCACAAATTATTCGATTTCTGAGTGGCCTAGGATACTCTACCGAGATGTGTAAACTAAAGCATGTTGATTTCTCAGGGTGCCATTCCCCGAGCCTTTTGACCTATAAGTCTAATCCACAAGTCAGTGAAACAACGTGATGGGATATGCAGTCCCACGGTAACCCAACAATAAGTTCGTAGACCACTTGTTCCCAGAGGATGGTGGAGCCTGTCTGCACCAGTGATTTGGAATCAGGGTTTTCCAACTCTCCTAGGTGCATCCTCAGTTTCCATCAATGTGGTTACAACACTGGACGCCTACTTTTTGTCCTCTCAATTTCGTAAACAACATTTCAGCAACAAGAAGGGAGTGAGGTAAAAATTTCTTGGCAGAAGAAGACAGTTTTTATTCACACAGCAGAATTGGAAAAAAATTTACAGTTTCAACTTTTGACTTAATCATATATTGCCTACAATATTTTGTATAACTATATATTAGAGCAATCACCGACATTCTAGAACAGCGAAACAGGTGGGTAGAGAACTTTGAAGAACTCTTGAATAGACCGACCCCGCTGAAACTACCCATCGAAGCGGCACCCATGCACTTCCTCATCAATGTTGGCCTACCAACAGATGAAGAGATCAGCATGGCCATCAGACAAATCAAGAGCGGCAAAGCAGCGGGGGGCAAGACAACATTCCATCAGAGGTAATGAAAGCAGACATGACAGCAACTGCAAAGGTACTCCACACATTCTAAAGCAAGGTTTGAGATGAAGAACAAGTACCAACAGACTGGAAAGATGGACACACCATCAAGACACCAAACAAAGGCGATCTCAGAAAGTGTGAGGACTACAGAGTCAATCAGCCAGTTACAAGGTAGAACTTCGGACGTACGTACATCAGTTCAGGTTGCCATACCACATTTGCACAGAGACGCCACTGACAGTTTAAATCCAAAAGTGGTGGAGATAGTAGAAGTATTACTGGTAATAGAGAGGATTAGGGATTGCAGATATTATTCAGGAAGTATAATTCAGTGAGATAAAGTTAGAAAGAGAAAGATAGAGGTGATGAGGAATTCAGAAGATTAGAATTTGGGACAACACAACGAGTGGATGCATATGCGCCAGAGCAAACGTTTTTGAGCCATGTCGTTCAAGGTCTTTGACCATCGGTTACTATCGTCTTACGGATCTCAACCAGTTAGTCTACATCTACTTACACTGGCTCATTCCAGTTGTCAGTGACTTCATGGATTTGTGCCATGTTCAGAGGACTACAGAGGCATCACACAATTTGAAGGCGTAGAACAGCATTTCTACAATTGAACAACATTCGGAACTTAAAACTTCTATCAACCAACACCAAAGTCCCAATTTTCAATACAAATGTCAATACAGTTCTACTGTATAGGGCGAAAGCTGAGAAAACTACCAAAGTCATCATCCAGAGGATACAAATATTTATTAACAATTGTCTACGCAAGATATTGTCGATCTGCTGGCCAGATAGCATCAGTAACAACCTACTGTAGGAAATAACAAACCAAATCATAGTGGAGGATAAAATTAGGAAGAAGCGTTTTGAAGTGAATAGGACACACATTGAGGAAAGCATCCAACCGCGGTGTCACAAGACAAGCTCTAACTAGGAAACCTCAAAACCGAAGGAGATGAGGAAAACCATAAAACACATTACACGTCGGGAATCAGAAACAAACATGAGAAAAAATGAACAATCTTTGGACAGAACTAGAAACACATATCCAAACATAGAGTAGGTTGGAGAATGCTGGTCAGCGGCCTATGCTTCATAAGGGATAACAGGAGTAAGTAAGTAAAAAATGATTCGTTAGTCAAATAGAATTTCTCTTGTACTCCTATTATCTGACTCAAGTGGCCAATTTGGTGGGATTAGTTTGCCATCGCGTTTACGTCTAAGTATACCGGATTATTGTTAATGTACTTTCTTTCACCAGTCAAAAGATGAGTCAATGTGAAAATTAATTTAAATTATTAACTATACCTTGACATGATTCACTTCTGTTTGATTCGAGCTCTCCAAATCTTCATTATGTAACAGATGAGGAAATTCATCATTTGAATTGAGATTATGATGATTGAATGCATTTGGTACTGCATTCGATGCCAGTGAATTCGACATGATTGTTGATGTTGATGTTGTCGACGTCGTCGTCTTCGTTGTGTGTAACACCAATGTCTGTTGATGATTGAATTTTCTATCATCGTCATCATCATCACCATTGTCAACATCAATGACAGCGGCAGTAGCACCATTATTATCACTATTATCAGTAGTATTATTAGTAGTATCAGTTGTATTTTTACAACTCATCATTGATAACATTGATACATAATCTATACCAATGGGATAAGTTGATATGATTGTTTTCAATTTGTCTAATTTACTACTATGATTGGATTTCTTGCGTTTTGTTAAACAATTTTCACGTGATTGTTTATGATTATTGTGTTGGCTTAATTCTATTGGTTTATTAGAAATAAGCGGATTCTGTGCATTTTCTTCATCTAGTTTTGTACAATAAAAAATCAATATAAAAAAGATAATAATAATATTAATAATCATGACTGTGTAAACAATTGGGATAAGTGTTTCGTCCTAGACTTTAACTCTTCAGCAGTACATACTGCCTGCGATTTTTTTGTTTGGTGAGAAACTATGATCAGTGCAATGTAACTATGCCGCATATATAAGATGATAGATCAAGGTTGTACAATATATTATGAGTTGATTAAATGTTGAACTAGTGGTTTTGTGGTGTGAGCTACTTATAAGTAGTATATGACGTGTGAGTGTCAACGTAATGTCTGGCAGCGGGAAATGGGGAGAGATCAAGAAAGGAAGAGTTAGAAGAACACAATGGAATTTGTGTATGAAACGCATGAATAGGGACAATGGATTGATGTTTGGCAACAGGAACAGTCCAGTTCGATAGGATGAACTGATATTTTGCAAATGAACAATTTTAGTGAGTAACTCTGTAATTTTCGTTAAATACAATTCGGTTGCCCCACCTGTATTCTCGTTCACTAAAGTTTGATCGACATTTTTCAATGTCCAAAGTCATGAATAGGTTAATGATGAGATTGATCCAAAATATCAGAACAACATAACAACTGTCCAATACTTACAGATTTTCTATGGTAGTTTAAGTAAAAGTAATTCATGATTTGAAATCTACAGACATTCTGTTATCGTTACAAAATTTAATGCTGTTACAAGGGAAATAAAAGCTCAAAGTTACTTAAAAATTTAAATGTAGAGTATTTAGTCATCAATAGCATTCATATCAGTCAGTCAGTCAGTAAGATACAACGTAGAGCTTGATAGGTACGTACATCAGTTCAAGTTGTCACAATATCCTCATATTAGCACAGAGATGCATTTGTCAGTTCAAGTCCCACGGTAGTAGAGGTAGTAAAAATATGAGCAGTAATCAAAATGGTCATGAGAAATTCAGAAGATTGAAATTTGAGAGAAGACATAGAAAGGATGCATCTAAAATTCTAAGCTATATCATTCAAAATCTCTAAGCGTAAGTTGCGATTGTCTTGCAATGGCAAATCAATAGATGAAGCATTGAAACTTCATCAGTTGAGGTGGTTGGGACATGTGTTACGAATGTCCAACTACCGACTCGCTCGTCGAGCTATGTTTTGTGGTGTAGGAGTAGATTGGAAGAAAGTTAGGGGTGGCCAGACCAAAACATGGCACAAATCCATGAAGTCACAGACAAGTGGACTGAGTCATGTTAGTAGATGTAGGCTATCTGGTTGGGGTCGGCGAGACAAAAGTCACCAATGCTTAGAGACCTTGAACGACATGGCTCAGAATCGTTTGCAATGATGCAGGTGCATCCAGTCTTTGTGTTCTCCCTAATTCTAACCTTTTGAATTCCTCATAATCTCAATCTTTCTCCTTCGAAATTTATCTCACTGAATTATACTTTTCGAATCATATCTTCGCTCCCTAATCTTCTCCATTACTGCTAGTAATTCTACTATCGCTATCACTGCTGGAACTCCGCCAGTAGAACCTTAGGGGCTACTGCCGGTCCCAAGCCCGGATAAAGGAGGAGGGTTGGACATGGGGTTGGCGACCCCATTCCGTTGAAATCTCACTTGCCAAAAAAACGCTAACCAGAAAAAATAATTCAAACCATTTTAACTCTGCCCTGGGAGTTGGAAGAAGAATTATGACGTCTCGTGATGAAAGCCGAGTTCCCTCGGAAGTCACGGGACCGATGCCTCTTCTGACAACCAGAGCAACCATTTTTTTAGGTACATGGAACGTTCGTACATTGTGGGAGACTGGAAGACTATTTCAAGTTGCGGCAGAAATGAAAAGATACAACCTCGAGGTGCTCGGCATCAGTGAAACACATTGGACACAGGTAGGACAACTGAGACTTGCTTCAGGGGAACTGCTGTTATACTCTGGTCATGAAGAGGAAAACGCTTCACATACACAAGGAGTTGCACTGATGCTGTCCAAACATGCACAAAAGGCACTGATAGGATGGGAATCTCATGGACCGAGGATCATTAAAGCATCCTTCAAAACAAAGAAAGAGGACATTACAATGAACGTCATCCAATGTTATGCACCTACCAATGACTACAATGACGACGTTAAAGATCAATTCTACGAAAGGCTGCAGTCAATCGTCGAGAAATGTTCACCAAAGGATTTGACGATTCTTATGGGAGACCTGAATGCCAAGGTTGGAATGGACAACATTGGATATGAAGACATCATGGGACGACATGGACTGGGAGAAAGAAACGAAAACGGTGAGAGATTTGCAAACCTATGTGCCTTCAACAAACTGGTCATCGGTGGCACAATATTCCCGCACAAACGCATTCACAAAGCCACATGGATTTCACCGGATCACACTACTCAAAACCAAATTGACCATATCTGTATCAACAAAAAGTTCAGAAGGACCATGGAGGATGTGAGAACCAAGAGAGGAGCTGATATAGCTTCAGATCACCACTTGCTGATCGCCAAAATGAAACTGAAACTAAAGAAGCACTGGACAACGGGACAGACAACATCGCACAAGTTTAATACGGCCTTTCTTCGGGATACTGTAAAGCTCAGCGAATTCAGGGTAGCCCTTACCAATAGGTTCCAGGCCTTTCAGGATCTACTCAATGGAGAGGACGCAACATTGGAGAACAATTGGAAAGGGATTAAGGAGGCAATCACTTCAACATGTCAGGAGGTCCTTGGTCGCAAGAAGCACCATCACAAGGAATGGATCTCTGTTGATACTCTTGCAAAAATTGAAGAAAGGAGGAACAAGAAGGCAGCAATCAATGTCAGCCGAACAAGAGCAGAGAAAGTTAAGGCACAAGCTGCATACACAGAAGCAAACAGGGAAGTGAAGAAGAGCATCAGAGCTGACAAACGAAAATATGTGGAAGATCTAGCAATGACGGCGGAAAGGCTGCAAGAGAAGGAAACATGAGACAATTGTACGAAACAACAAAGAAGCTCACCGGGAACTATCGTAAACCAGAACGACCAGTGAAAAGCAAGGAAGGGAAAATAATCAGCAACACTGACGAACAACGAAATAGGTGGGTAGAGCACTTTCAGGAACTATTGAATCGACCAGCTCCACTGAACCCACCCAACATCGAAGCAGCATCCAAGGACCTCCCAATTAATATTGGCGCACCTACGATTGAGGAGATCAGTATGGCCATCAGACAAATCAAGAGCGGCAAAGCAGCAGGACCAGACAACATTCCAGCAGAGGCAATAAAAGCAGATGTGGAAGCAACTGCGAAAATATTTCACATCCTCTTCAAGAAGATTTGGGATGAGGAACAAGTACCATCAGATTGGAAAGAAGGATACCTGATCAAAATACCAAAGAAAGGAGATCTCAGCAAGTGTGAGAACTACAGAGGCATCACTCTTCTTTCAATACCAGGCAAAGTCTTCAACAGAGTATTGTTAAACAGAATGAAGGACTTCGTAGACGCCCAACTTCGAGATCAACAGGCCGGATTTCGTAAGGATCGATCATGTACTGACCAAATTGCTACATTACGGATCATTGTGGAACAATCAATTGAATGGAACTCACCACTCTACATCAACTTCATCGACTACGAGAAAGCATTTGATAGCGTGGATAGGAAAACACTGTGGAGGCTTCTTCGACACTACGGTGTGCCTGAGAAAATAGTCAACATCATACGGAATTCTTATGATGGATTCAACTGCAAAATTGTACACGAAGGACAGCTAAAAGACTCTATCGAGGTGAAGACCGGTGTCAGGCAAGGTTGCTTACTCCCACCCTTTCTCTTCCTCCTGGTCATCGACTGGATTATGAAAACGTCAACATCTGGAGGGAAGCACGGTATCAACTGGACAGTTAGCACGCAGCTGGACGATCTGGACTTCGCAGATGACCTGGCTCTTCTATCGCACACTCAACAACAAATGCAAGAGAAGACGACCAGTGTAGCAGCAGCCTCTGCAGCGGTAGGTCTCAACATACATAAAGGAAAGAGCAAAATTCTCCGATGCAACACAACATGCACCAATCAAATCACGCTTGATGGAGATGCTTTCGAGGACGTTAACAACTTTACATATCTTGGCAGCATCATCGACGAGAAAGGTGGATCGGATGCAGATGTGAGGGCGTGGATCAACAAACCGAGGGCTGCATTTCTACAATTGAAAAATATCTGGAACTCCAAACAACTTTCAAACAAAACCAAAATCAGGATTTTCAATACAAATGTCAAGACAGTTCTACTGTATGGAGCCGAAACATGGAGAACTACCAAAGCCATCATCCAGAAGATACAAGTGTTTATTAACAGCTGTCTACGCAAAATACTTCGTATTCGTTGGCCAGACACCATCAGCAACAACGAACTGTGGGAGAGAACAAGTCAGATTCCAGTGGAGGAGGAAATCAGGAAGAAGCGGTGGAAGTGGATAGGACACACACTACGAAAAGCACCTAACTGTGTCACGAGACAAGCCCTCACATGGAACCCTCAAGGCAAAAGGAATAGAGGAAGGCCAAGGAACACACTACGCCGAGAAATAGAGAAAGATATGAGAGGAATGAACAAACATTGGACAGAATTGGAGAGGGAAGCCCAGAACAGAGTTGGTTGGAGAAAACTGGTGAGCGGCCTATGCTCCATTGGGGGTAACAGGCTTAAGTAAGTAAGTAAGTAAGTAAGTATCACTGCTGGATTTGAACTGACAGTTACGTCTCTGTGCTTATGTGGTGGTATGGCAACCTGAACTGATGTACGTTCATCCGTACGAAGTTCTGCGTTGTATCTGTCTATCTGTCTGATTGTCTTGCGAACTCCACACCAGATAGTCTACACCTACTAACACATGGCTCAGTCCTCTTATCAGTGACTTCATAGATTTGTGTCATGTTTTGGTCTGACCGCCACTAGCTATCTTCCAGCCTACTCCTACATCACAAAACATCACTGATCAAGGCATACCAAACACATGTTTGAATGTATATGTATTTAGTTTAAGTATTAAATCAATCAATCTAAAAATATTTTTTTTGCAAAAAGTTGAACATAAAATGAATGACTTACATTGATGAAGTTGATGATATATTTCTTTTAAAAGTAGCACAGCACGTTTACGTGGAAGTGGTTTCACACCATATTTAGATAAAGCACGCTAAACAAAGAAACAGTAAAATGAAATAAAATGGAATACACAGAAAAAAAAACAAGAGAATATTGGAAAGATGAATGAAACTGCGCAAATCGTGCACGGAGGTCACAGCTGACAAACTTGTTTAAGGTGAAGACCGGTGTCAGGCAAGGTTGCTTACTCTCACGCTTTTTCTCTTTCTCCTGGTGATCGACTGGACTAGGGAGACGTCAGCATCTGGAGTGAAGCACAGTATCCAATGGACAGAGCTAGGACGCAGCTGGACGATTTGGACTTCACAGATGATCTGGTTTTTCTGCCGCACACGTAACAACAAATGCAAGAGAAGACGACCAGTGTAGCGACAGCCTAAGCAACAGTTGGTTTCAACATACATAAATGGAAAAGTAAGATTCTACGATACAACACAACATGCGCCAACCAAATCACCCTTGATGGAGATGACTTAGAGTAGGTTAAAACCTTTACATATCTTGGCAGCATCATCGACAATCAAGGTGGATCCGATGAAGATGTGAGGGCGTGGATCAACAAACCGAGGGCTGCATTTCTACAACTGAAAAATATCTGGAACTCCAAACAACTTTCAAACAAAACCAAAATCATGATTCTCAATACAAATGTCAAGACAGTTGTACTGTATGGAGCGGAAACATGCGGAACTATGAAAGCCATCATCCAGAAGATACAAGTATTCATTAACAGTTGTCTACGCTAAATACTTCGGATTGGTTAGCCAGACACCATCAGCCACAACCGACTGTGGGAGAGAACAAACCCGATTCCAATGGAGAAGGAAATCAGGAAGCGCTGGAGTTGGTGGATAGGACACACACTACGAAAAGCACCTAACTGTGTCACAAGACAAACCTTCACTTGGAATCTTCAAGTTTAAAATGAAAAGAGGAAGATCGAGAACCACTTTACGCGGAGAAAATAGAAAAAGAATGATATAAGAAGAATAAACAGAAATTGGACAGAACTGGAAATGGAAGCCCAGAACAGAGTTGGTTGGAGAAAACTGGTCGACGGTCTATGCTCCATAGGGGGTAACAGGCGTGCGTAAATAAGTAAATAATTTTTCAATATTGTCAAAAAAATGAAAAGTCTTGACTAGGATAGTGTTCAACTGAGTCGGATGTGAAGCAGTGTACATTGAGAAGACAATAGGTGAAGTAACGCAAGATTGTCGTGGATTGATAACATTTAAGTCATAACACCGTCGGACACCGACCCGATTGTCTGGACGTTACGCTTTCATGCCTGATACCAAACTCCCTGGATTGGATTCCAACGTACGGGGGTCTTGGATGCACATTATTGATTAGTCCCATGTTAGGATGAAACGGTAGTCCAGTGCTCTTAGGTTTCTAATGGTGGTCTAACACTGATCGATTCATGATTTCAATGAGACTCAACATGGAAACACTAGGTGGCCGTTTCGTTCTAGTATATGACTACTCATCAGTGGCAGTGAGCATCCACGACTCCTGCTACCTGTAATAATTCGATAACACTATTGATTATTGCAACGTTTGATTCTGTGTGTGTGCATGCTTACTCGTTTATTACATGTGTGGCTTATTATTGCTAGACTATAAATACTTAGTAATTAATTCTTCAGCTCATGGAGAGTGATGTTTTGTGGTGATGTAGGAGTAGGCTGGAATAGAAAACTAGGTGAGGCCAGACCAGAAACATGACACAAATCTATGAAGTCACTGATAAGAGGACTGAGCCATGTTAGTGGGTGTAGACTATCTGGTGTGGAGTTCGCAAGACAATCGCAACTGATGGTCAGAGATTTTGAATGATATGGCTTGTAGAATTGTAGATTCATCCACGTTTAGGTCTGAAACCAAACTGGGTTTCTCTGATCTTGCTCTTCACAAGCAATAGTTAGGCGTCTAAGGTGGAATCAGATTAATGATTTTACTAGGATCCAGTATGCGCGTTTCCGAGACGCAGCATACATCGATTGAGCGAGATTCTAATGTCCTAGCTAAGGAAGCCTGTTGCCCTATTTGACACAATGTCCGTACATTAAATGCTCCAACATGTAATTTAGAACGAGGTCTCAGGAGACCAGAAATGGCATTCCGTGAACTCGTCGTGGAGATAAGAGAGATAATAGTGGGTGTAGGAAGGATTTGATTTCGACCAATTTGGTATCGTGTGCTTTCAGTGGGTATGACGGTGGATGTCACTTCCCGACTGCCCACACCGTGGAAGGATGCTTCTTGAGGAACCTGAAAAGGAAGGTAGATTAGTGTTGGTCTTAGAGACCTGAGAGCGTGACTGCAGAGCCCAAGAGACAAGTGCTTTAGGCCGGTCACGCATGGCCTTTTATGAAAGGTCCGCTCTGCTCTTAAAAGCCCTTAGTGGGCAGCCTTACCGACGGAGACGGAAATCCGTAAGGTAAGGTGAGGTGTGATATTGTTAGGGTCGACCTTTTCTAACCCTTCCTTCCTTGTCACAAGGCAGC